TCATTGATTGTTACTCAAGTACAAGCAAATGCTACAAAGCGGCTCTCACTTTTCAGGAGACGTGAAGTAGATTTACGGATAGACACTACCCGCATGCCTCGTCAGTAGTATCCCCTGTTACACTAGCAGTGACAGGTGACATGTTCACTGAGATATCACTGGGGTCTTTCAGGACCAAACGGTTTACAATACGGTACCCTGTGAAGGGTCTATTATAGGCCTTTTTTATCACAGCTCTCGACGAACTTTGCGTGGTTCTTTTCAAGATTCTGGTGCATCGAAACATAACCTTAATGGTGTGCTTACTGAAGGCGAAAAGCACGTAGTTTAATCTCTTTTAAAATCAGCAAGAACTAGATTCATTCACTGTACACACTATAAAAGATGGGATGTTTTGGTCTTATTTGTGTGTGTCTAATCCTTAAAGAAATTTTGAACAAATTATGGCTGATGGGGAGCGCTCTTGCCATGTATCCACTGGAGAGCCCCATCTTCAAAGTTGATATTCTTTGGGTGGCCTACTATGTATATGAACTACAGCTATCTTTACTTCTCAGCTGATACAACTGGCTGTGATACACCCTGATACAAAAGGGTCATCTTGACTTTTATCTTTCTTGAAGACTTAAAACCTTAATTTCCTTCCTTTGCCCACAGGTCTGAACATTCTACCACGGTCAGTGTCACCTCATGAAAGCCAGTGTGCCACCTTCCATCCTAAGACTCTTGGCATCATAAAAACCACACCAGTTGGCTTCTGAGCTTTTGGCCGAGTTCACGACCAGTGGAGAAGACAAAAAACAACGTGTGGTCGGGTGGGTACATTCTCCTCAATTACTAGTGCTTATCAGATAGTTGGAAGTCACCTGAAATGTGTTGTTCAGGTTGGTCACTTCGAAACTACCCTTCGCACATTCTTATCTTACTGTTTGCAACCTGTATTGTCTGGTTGGTTATATTGCCTGTGATTTTTGCGCCTGATTGGTCACCGTGTCGCTCTATATTTAACAGATTTCATTCGCTCATCTGATTGGTCCGTTCCCAGGTTGTGCCATCACGCTGTGATAGCGAGATAATCGCACTGCTCCTTTTATTCTTCCCCATGGCAGACCCACATTTCAAGACTTATGCCTGGAAGTAAAATTTATTTCCAGGAAAGGAAGATTAACTGACATTTTCATAGAAGTATCGAAAATTTGATGGACCACCCATGTTTTTCACCAAAAGATCTACTCCACCTGGACGGAATTGAATGTTACCAGAATGAATAGGAGTCTGTTAGTCATCTTGACGTAATTAAGTTGACTATCAGAAGGTGACAAGCGCTAACAAATGTCTGCATTACCGGAATCATGGTGAATGCAAAAGTGATGTGCACTTGATAAAAATAAAAATAATGCAAGAAGGGATTAAACCAAAAATTGACTTATCGTTTGAGGACACTTGTTGAGAGTTCCTGAGTGAAGTTCCCGATGCGAGACGTGTCTTCTTTGCAGTATAGACGCTACACGTGTTTCGTAGTTGGTCGTGGAGACTTGTGGAGTTCGTGCAGGCGTGTATATGTTTCGGAGTGGGGGTGGGGAGCTGCATGCTCATTTATTGTGTTCAGTGTGAAGATAGGGGTATCCATTCGTGTCTGACAATTGCACGACCGCGAATACAACTTGACCTGATGTGACTGAAGTTCGTAAGCCTGGTGCGCGATGCAAGTGGTAGCCCCGCGTGAACAAAAATGGATGGGAAATTGTAGTGTACATGTTGTCGGCTAAGGTTACGAGCGGGGCGAGGTTTTGTCACGTGATTTGAGTGTTTATGACGCGTGATATAGCAAGTAGCCGTTTGGGACACTTGTACTAGACTGGCCAGTTAACGCCTTTCACAAGAAGAGATGGGGTCATGGCCTTGGAGATATGAGTGACGTGCAGCACTGAGTTGTCTTGTTCATCTATTCCACTCTCCTGTTCACCGACCCCAACGAGTGACTACTAACCTCCTCGGATTTTTATTGTCTGTTGAAATATCCCGTCCTGTCCCCATCAACGTGACATAAATAAGGACAATTCTGGTCCGGAATTTCACCTTCGACGGAGTATTACCTGATTGTAATTAGAGCTAAACGCACGTCTGGGGTCTTCTGTATTTGGTGTGGATTAACAACTGAACTATAATAGGTGAATCGATCAAATGGGAGTCGTGTAAACGTAACTTCGGAAAACCCCATTACTAATCTCGTTGACCAGTTTAGCACGTCCATTGAAACGATACTTGAGTGTTTTTGTGGAGAGTTCATCCTGTAAGTAAAGCCAATCTATGCTGAAAAGCCGAGAAGCACTGTACAGCTGTTTCATCCTTATTGGGAATCATCAGCAGTGCGCATCTCA